AGAATAACATTCTGTAAATTGGATCTTTTGTGTTTTAGTTTATGTTCCAGTGATGTTTTGTGTGTGTGTGTATGTGATCAGGTAGATCCTTAACTGCTTGGTCATTCTAATGAGAAAAGTAGACCATTTATTTGAGATATACTGGGTGTTAAACAGTGTACTGAATCCCCAGGAGTACGTTATCACCACAGGTCTTTGAAAGAGTTAATTTCAATATGTATTTTATAAATGGGAAAGCTAAAGCTCAGAAAATTTAAATAATTCGGGGCGCCTGGGTGGCTCAGTCGTTAAGCGTCTGCCTTCGGCTCAGGTCATGATTTCAGGGTCCTGGGATCGAGCCCCGCATCGGGCTCCCTGCTCCGCGGGAAGCCTGCTTCTCCCTCTCCCCCTCCCCCTGCTTGTGTTCCCTCTCTTGCTGTGTCTCTCTCTGTCAAATAAATAAATAAAATCTTTAAAAAAAAAAAAAGAAAGAAAATTTAAATAATTCTATCACACTTCCACTATTAAGTAGCAATCTGGGGTCTGACACTGATCTTAGTGATTTTTCCACTGTCCCCTAGACCTGTCAGCGAGGACGTTTGTTTCTATTTCTCAGGCTGTGTTTTTCTTTTTCTGTTTTATTAAAATGACTATATTCATTGCAAATGACATCAAATTCCAGTTGGGAAGAATCAAGGAAGAAATAAGTTGAGGAACTAATGACTTCTGTATAAGTGAATTATCCAAGAAAGGCCTAGGTTGTGAGCCCTGATATGCTGTCATCCCAGCAGTCCCTGCGTGGCCTCCGTGCCTCTTGCCAGGTGTCTGCAAGAGCCTGTCAAACCATTGTCCTCATTGTTAGAAACTGAAATATGACTGGGGCACTTCCTCTCCTTTCTGCACAAGCTATATTCTACTTGTAATACAACTGTCAGTTTCCTTTTCTTTCCAACCACCCATCATCATTCAGCAATTTTTCTGGTGCCTATCACCCGGCCTCTGACAGCTGAAATCAGACTGTAAGCATAATGAATGAAGGTGAAGGAGATGCTCTGGCCCGTGCGTGCTCTTCCTGGGATGGAACATGTTCCCTCAGAACGCTCGTGACAGCTCGTGACGGCTCCCAGATTAGTTGATTACAGGAAGGCAGATGAGGAGAGGCGAGTTTTGTTTCTCATTCAGAATTTTGAAATGCTAGACTAAATCTCAGAGGATTCGACACTCGGACCATATGGTCTTCGACCATGGTCTTTACTTTTGGTTCTGACCTATGTATTTTCAAGAATATTTTCCCTGGCTTGGTGCTGATATTGGTAATTGAGTAAGCTGGATTTGGACTTGCAGTAAAGAGGAAATCTCATCAAATGCAGGGTAGGTAGGGTTTGCAATGGGCCTGGAAGCCTATAATGAGGCTCCTGTAGGAGGAATTTTGGTTGGGGGTTGAGGTATTCCTGCCCAAAGTTTACTTTTGTTCAGTTTAACCCCACTCTGTAAAGCAGTAATCATCTTTCTGGAGCTAACCAGGAACAAATGCAACTATTATTTAGTTTCCAGCCAGATGCTAGCCCTCATCCTTCCTTTTCACAGCCAAATCTTCCTCTCGCTGACATTTCTCACAGCCCATGGCCCTTATTTTTGGTATTGTATCTTTTGTTATCTATGTTCCCTATATGATTGTCATCAACAAATGTTTATTAAGTGCACCTGTTACCTGTAAGGCTCTGGGGATACAGAGGGGATTGCTTGTGTTTGTTAGGTCTTTGACAGTTCCCAAAGGACTTGCACATATACTCTCTCATCTAATTCCAATGACATTCTACTAAGGTCTCCATTTCTTCCTTCATTCAGCAAATGTATGCTTTTAGAACCACTTTCCAGGAAGTTCCATTCCAGGTAGGAAAATGTTACGTAAGCATTAGAAAACAAGTGACAATACAGGTGACCGATGTTGAGGTTATTTTATATAAAATCACTGCTAATGGAGTTTTGGACATTAGGAGAGGGCCACTCAACAGTTTAAGGCTAGACCTGGTGCCTAAAGAACTGGTCGGAGTGGGGCAGGGCCCTCCAGATGGAAGCCAAGTGTGGAGAAAGACACGGCGAAGCACCCACAGTCAGTGCATCTGGTGTGCCCGAAGCTGCTACTAGTTTGACCGAAGCTAGGTTCATCAGGTCTGAATATATTTATTGAGTATCTAAAATCATAGAACCTACAAATTTTTAGAAATCATTGGAGATCTTGTAGTCTAACTCTCATTTGTCCTTAAAAGAGATGCCCATCTTCCGTAAGTGAATGCATTATATTGTTGTGTATATTTATTTCATAGGAAGTTATTTACGTTGCGCCTGGAGTGCAGAATATAACCTGTTTATTTTCTACACATATTCACATGTTTCCTTGGTAATCCAGTACTGACTTCGTTTTATGATCGAAGTCAGTAAGAGCAGTGTTGATAAAGAAGATCTGTTTATTCTGTTCTGTTTGTTTGGAACCACAGCATGTGACTTTTAGAGGAGGGTTTTGTGAAAGGGGCAGTGTTTATGATAGTCTTGATGCTCTCCTTTTGCAAAACCACTGACTTAGCAGAACACTAATATCTCTGGTGCAAATATAGTAATACAAGATGGATTTTTTTTTCAAGTGAGAAAAAATAGTTCATGATTTTGAATCAAGAGCTGTACATTCCATTATATTTTCTGTTTTTCTTAAGAAAAGCCATGCTGTGATTAGTTGGTAGAAACAACTGATCCAAATAGGATTTGTCTAGACTCTGATGCCTCTGGGAAGTCTTGATGATCCGGGGTATGGATTTCTGAGGCTTCACGTGTTTTTATCAGTCAATCTCCATGATACCTCAGAGACCATTAAGATAGATAGTAAATCAAACGAGATTTAGTTGTGTTTGGTATCATGCAAAGAGCTGTAATTAGAAAGAAAATGTTGAATTTAGAAAAAAGAAAAATATTTTAAGTGTAGGCTGTCAGAATTTTGAGGAAGCCCAGGAAATAGCATCTCTCTTTACTGTCAGATTCCTGAAACATTAAGAAATAACATAAGGTAGATGGAAGGTGAAATTCCAACTTTTATACTGACATAAGCTAGACTGGAAGATGTGGTCTAGTTTGAGAGCCAAATGAGTTTGCTAACTGAACATGAAAATTAGACAAATTTACTCACCCACTTACAGAAGGGACTAGACCACTTCATCCTTCTCTGAACAAAGCAAGAACTTTATTGTTCAACTTTGCAAGACAACACTTACCATCTGCAGGCATTCTGGTTTCTAAAGTGGAATAAGGAGGTTGCCGAGACCTGCATGCTCGGCTTTGTCTTCTCAATTTTACCAGGGGAATTACTTCACTTCCCCTAGAGTGGGTAAAAGACAGAGAGAGCCCAGGGATTACATTAATTTTCATTCTCATAGTAGGTAACATGAGTAGTGTGTGTGGGAGGGGGAGCATTTCTCCCAACATCCTGAGATACACATTTTTTCACGTTTTAAAGCAGTTGAAATTAGGATGTTATCTTAAGTCAATGCCATCTTCATGGCTGTGGCCCAGAAGACAGCCAGAATGAGTTGTTTTGCATCAGTTGGTGTGAGCTGAGTGGATATTCCTCATACCATGAGCCTTCAATGTTTCAATTAATGAACCTCTTAAGGATAGGTTGAGGAAAGATTATGAATTTTGGTCGGTATAGGAACACCTTCCCTTTAAATCTTCTGATAGCGTCAAGTGCATATCAACATTAAACCTTGCAGAATCAGTATCGGCAGTTGGAATAAAATACTAGTACACTCCTTTAAGAAACCCACTTAGTGACACCATTTAGAAAACAAGGATATTGACAACTCTGAGTCATTAAGAAAAGCTGGATTCTGAAAATCATGTAGTTTTAAGAACACCTTAATTTATTTTTCTTATATTTCTGTATTAAATGTGTGTGAGATTTATGGTAAACATCTATTTATTTTAAAAGTCTTAAAGCCTTAAAAAATCTTAAATATTTACTTATAAATTATATAACCTACTTGTATATATTTAAACTGTAAGAAGCTTTTTTTTTTTAAAGATTTTATTTATTTATTTGAGACCGAGAGAATGAGAGAGAGAGAGCACATGAGAGGGGGGAGGGTCAGAGGGAGAAGCAGGCTCCCTGCCGAGCAGGGAGCCCGATGCGGGACTCGATCCCGGGACTCCAGGATCATGACCTGAGCCGAAGGCAGTCGCTTAACCAACTGAGCCACCCAGGCGCCCTGTAAGAAGCTTTTTAATGAGAAAAGAAAACCTTCTAGGTAATAAGGAAGCATTATATAGTTTCATTAGCAGGATTTTTTTAAAAATTAGTGTTAGTAGTGTTAAAATTGGTGGGGTCTTAGATTTGATGAAGTGTGGTTAAATTAGGTTTATATGGGTCTTTGCTCTAACCTTTACAGCCCTGGACAACCTTGAATGCTACTTCCTCTTTGGGAAAGTTTCACGTGCTATGCTATCTAAGATGGACACTGGTGATTGTAGATCTAAAAGATTAACTGGATTTGCCCTACACTGTTTCTTTAAAAACACTATTTTTTACTGAGCTTCCAGTGGAGCTTCACTCCAGAGTGAAAATGCTGCTCTACAGTTTATGTAACGAGGAAGACTGACTGGATCCAGTCACTCAAAATAATTGTATAGGTTTGAAGGCAACTGTTTTCAATGATAATCCTTCCTGTGATAGCATAACATTCATCTCAATAGCCTTGGTTTATTTTTTTGTAAAAGTTCTAATAAGCTGGGGCACCTGGGTGGCTCAGTCGTTAAGCGTCTGCCTTTGGCTCAGGTCATGATCTCAGGGTCCTGGGATTGAGCCCCGCATCGGGCTCCCTGCTCTGCGGGGAGCCTGCTTCTCCCTCTCCCACTCCCCCCTGCTTGTGTTCCCTCTCTCGCTGTGTCTCTCTCTGTCAAATAAATAAATAAAAAATCTTAAAAAAAAAAATAAAAGTTCTAATAAGCTAAATCTGTCTTCTTTTTCCTGAAAGGGGGTCCTGATGATAACTTAATTGAAGGTGGAGGAACCAAATTTGTCTGCAAACCGGGAGCCAGAAATATTACTGTCATATTCCACCCATTACTAAGGTAAGTCGAATCCTATGTACTTACTGAAAGTCATTATTTTCATTATTTTTGCTGACGTACTGAATGCCAGGAGGTCAGTCAGCACTGAAACAAGTCCTAAATAAATAAATAAACAAGACAAAACAAAAACTTGTTCCATTTTTAGGGCTTCACTATCAAAGTTTGTCAATAAAACCAATAATGTCAACTCCGCTAAGTACCTATTTGTTCTCTGGAGTAATACTCCATAAATACTTTTTTATAATTTTCTTTGTTTCCTACTCCCTGTCCCTGGCGCCTCTCCCTCTCTCTGTCATTGTCCCTCCATTCCTTTCTTTATTTCAGGGAGTGGCAACTTATATGGCCCATAAGAGAAATCTAGTCTGTCACCTGGTTTTCTTTTTTTTAATAATTTTTTCTTGACACAGTCATGCTCATCTGTTTATGCACTGTCCATAGCTGCTCTGTGCCACAATGTTGCAGAATTGAATATTTGCAAGAGAAACCATATGGTCTACAAAGCCTAAGATGTTTACGCTTAGGCCCTTTACAGGAAAAAATGGCAGACCCATGATCTATCTCCCTAATTTATATTAATGACTCAGATATCCTCTGAGGATTGGCAAGTCTTGAAACAAATATGACTTATAAAAACTGAAAGACATTATAGCAGTCATGTATATGGTTTCATATATTAAAGGACAACTCGATGCTGACTGGATTGAAATCTGTTATATGCTCAGGTTATTGTGGAGCTATGATTATAAAAAAATAAAAATCTGTGATAATTGCATTTTAAAAACTTCTAAGTCCTAAATACCTTTAAAAAGGAACTTTTTGGGAAGACAGGAAAAGGGAGTTATTCTTCAATGGATCTAAAGTTTTGGTTTTGCAAGATGAAAAATTTCTAGAAACCTGGTTACAAAATAATGTGCATATAGTTAGCATTACTGTACTGTATACCTAAAAAAGATTAAGATGGCGAATTATATTTTAAGCGTTATTGGCCACAATAAAAAAGGGTACTCTTTGAACATAGATATCCAATATAATATTAATTGTATGTTTTCTCTGCAATGAACCAATATATATTTTTGCTTTTTCCTATAATGGACCAGAAACTCTTGGGTTCATTTAAGGTTAGCTGCCTCAGATCATCACATTCACTTCCTCAGGTAACTTCTATAATATTTGAGGCATTTGAAATAACAGTTAAGCAAATGCTGCTGAATTGTCCAGATAAATATTGAATATACTTTTCTAAAACATAAGCAGTTTATTACTGGAATTATCCTTATCCTACCTTCTCATTAACCAAGACTTACTAAATCGAAATCATTAGAACTAGTTCAATTTAGATCTCTTACCTAAGCAACAGGTTTAAAAATTGTACAGGAATACTTCACCCAATTAGTTTTAAATGCAGAAACACAAATATGTAAATTAAACAACAAAAAAATCCTTTCATGCAATAACAAGAGATTTTTAAAGAAGCATTATTAATCTTTTGAAAAATCTGTTTTAACAAACATTTGCAAAAGTAAATCATATAATTTAGGAATCCTGGAATTAAGAGAATTAAGACTATTCCTCTATAAATTTAGTTGATTTTCTATATAAATACATAAATTACAACATCTAGATTTTCTAGATTAAGTAGCAGTGCTCATATTTATTACACCTGACTTTGGTAATTGGTTTAGTATTCACTCTCGTCTTCAATTAAATTGATTTCTACTTAGTTAAAGTTGCTAATTGTTAGGAAAATGGGAAAATACCTTAATCATTATAGGCATCTTCTAACCTAGATTTAATGCCATAATTTACCGCTAAGTTACGCCATGGCATGGATAAATGTAATCCTTATGCTTAGGTTTGTTCCAAAGCATAGAAAAAGACCTTTGGAAGTTTTTTAGCTGTGGTTGTCAGTCACTTTTCAGGAGATTTTTTTTCTCTATAAACTTTTTTTTTTCCCTTTATAAATGTGAAGTTAGGAGATTGGGGAAGAAAAGCTACCCTTATCTGACAGTTAATAAAATGCATTTTTGCTAAAGTATGAGTAGAGTTTAATGTATTACAATTCTTAACAATTATTTTTTAGCATTTATCCTTCTCTACAAGCGAGTTGTTTTAGGACTTGATAATACTCATACTAGTTTTACTCACTCGATTGGTCTCTACTTTCATTCTGAATGTTATTATTGATTAAAAGTTTTGTTGCATGATACAGTTTACATTCATTCTCTGTGTAACTCTTAATGGAAGTCACAAGAATATTATGGGGTCTGCGAGGTAAGTTAATTCCTTTCTAAGCAGGTGATCATTATAGACTTTAAATTAGCCTTTGGCTCAAATTGTAACCTTGCTTCTCAAACCCGTTATAAAGTCTCAGCTGAAACCTCAAAATGGGCTTATGGAATTTCAAATGATTAAGATCTTATAGTTTTGGTTGTTTTTTTTTTTTAATTTTGTTTTTACACTTCAGCATTTGTTGATTATTGGATTTATTATTTCTTCTAAAGCTTGGAAGTTTAGTTTTGGTAATGAGGAGAGTCAGTGGGTATTATACTAGTGCATTTCATTTTTACTCTATATATTTAAAGTTTTCTCATTTCTCCTGTAGCCATTCATTTATTCATGATCGACAAATGTATATTGAACACTTACGGTGCATGTTTTCCCTTCTCTAAGTTCGCTGTGGACTCTTCTTTAGAAATAGTCACTCTTATTTTTATGGGATTATTTAAATAAAATATGCATACATATATTTTCCGTCCTTTGGAATGCCCCTCATTTTATTTCCATGCTAGCTCAAAGTGAATGTGATTTAGCATATTACTATTTACAAAACCATATAACCTAGTGAGAGAGTTAGCATAGAATAATTTGAAAGATGGGGAATTAAAGCACAGGATTTAAAATTTAAAGTGAAAAGTGCAACAAATTAGGTTCAGATCCAGGTTCCTCTGTTCAGTTTTACTCACTGATTATTTATTGGGCCCTGATTCTATGCGAGGTCCTGGGGAAATGAAAAAATAACATCAAATCCTTGCCTAAAGGTATTCCCTTGGTAGTTGCATGGGCGGCAAAAACTGAGAAGCCCCAAAACTCCAATGACTGGTGAGGACAGAGATGAGTGGGATCTTGCACCAGGAGGTAGATGACTGCAGCCTTTCCCGTACATAGTTGGACAGTAGTGAGCCGGTGCATAACCTTTCACCCAGCACTTCGCCTCCTTGCGTGCTTCTGCTCAGATGCAGGGACTCCTCGTTTTCCTCTCCTAAGTCCCCAAACTCTAGTTCAGAAGGAACTTACTACAAGTTGGCTTTTATCAGCCATTTAAACACTGTCCTTGTTTTCTTGCACTGTCTCTCTCAGGGAGCTTTTTTCCATGGGAATGGAGTTTTCGTTTCCCTTTGCTACTTTTCCCCTACGTCTAGCGATACTTGTATTCTGTCTTCCTGAAATGCTGCAGGTGGCTTGTGTATACTTCATTTATTAAAAATGTCCTTTCCATCATTTTTATTTAGTGGGCAGTGCATTCTTTGCTGCATAAAAGTTTCCTGTACTGAAAACTTGGAACCACCCTGTTCAAGAACACCACACAGCACATTCCTATTATGCTGTTTCATATATTCTCAGCTGTCATTTTTACTGTTCTCCCATAAAATCATTGTACAAGGTCCCAGATCTGGCAACCTTGCGAGTTTATTTTTGTACTTTTCTTCTAAGTACTGCAGTTTCTTCCCTAGGAAATCTCACAGGGTGTCGGAGGCAAATCTACGGACCTCCAGTCTGTTCACTACCCCTTAACTCTGCTGGCCCCTTTGACTTGTTTATTTAATGCTCTTCCTTACTATTTTCTCTTTCTGGGTAAGAAACCAGAAAATTGTCTCAGAGAATGATGTTTTAGAAAAATGAGGTCTATAGCATTATCTTGCTTGCTTTATTCTTAGCCTAATAACACATTGTGTGAAACTTAAGCCTTAATGTAAGCTTTTGATGGTAAGAGTTTATCTAATCAGTTTTGCTACCTCTGGTTCTAAGTGAACAAAACATACTGAAATGAAGAGGTTTCTGCTTAAACCTAGGTAGATTCTGAAATATTTTCACCAAAATAGAGACCCTGAAAATGATAGGCTGAATAACTAGTACCACCCTCACTGACATAGTTGCTGCTTTTTCCCTTTCTCTGAAAACAGTCAAGAGGAATGGATGGATTCACTCTAATAAATTCTTTTATAGGCTTCAATTTGGGAAACACAAAGAAAATACGTTAATGGTGAAATCTGAATGACGGTATTTCTTTTGTCTAGAGCAGACATGCATTTAGATTTTTTTTTTTTACACAAATTATTTTTGAGTAGTTCCATCATGGTAAACTTTATCAACAAAATACACTTTGTTGAGGTATCAATCACAGTTTGACAGAGTAGCACTTTGTAGTTATAATTAATATATAATGTAGCCATTTCTGGAAATTTGAAGTTACCTTGTGGCTGCTATTTGTGGGATTTTGCGGGGAGGGGCAGAGAATTTATTTCTCTCTTTGTTTTTTCATTTATCACTATTCCTTATTCTCTAACCCCCTCAGCAGAGAATATATGGTTCCTTAGCTTGTTCGTACAGTTCCCTCATATAGCAAAAACTGAGTGACAATAAAAATTATTCCTTTACCAATCGAAATGCTTACAGCGTCTAACTAAAGAATTTAAAAACACTCTCGGGCGCCTGGGTGGCTCAGTTGGTTAAGCGACTGCCTTCGGCTCAGGTCATGATCCTGGAGTCCCGGGATCGAGTCCCGCATCGGGCTCCCTGCTCGGCGGGGGGTCTGCTTCTCCCTCTGACCCTCCCCCCTCTCATGCTCTCTCTCATTCTCTCTCTCAAATAAATAAATAAAATCTTTAAAAAATAAAAAAAAATTAAAAAAAAATAAAAACACTCTCAAGCTTTATTAATCTCTCATTTATTTACTTATTGCCTGCATTTGTGATTGCATACCTTCTGAGTCAGTAAGGCAA